TTGCAATGTTGATTTGTATCAATATTGAAAACCTATCACTGTGTCTTCCTCTTATTTTAATCCATAGGTGTGAATCCTACTGAACCCTATAAAAGGGGCATTCTATTGTGTATTCATCAGTTGCCTTCTTGTTACATTGTACTTTCTTTGTTGTAACATTGCCATAAACAGTGTATTGTTTAAATGTACATTACGCTCACTTCCTTTATTGTAACTCTACGATCCAATGCATGCAGTTTGAACCTGATCGAATGTGAGCGAATATCATCCACAAATACTATGTATTATGTATGTGTAAAGTTTGATTATAATTGTCCAGGCATGTCTGAGACGCACAAAGGTCAAAACATAAGTTCCCATTTTTGGACTGGGTCCGAACGGGGAGTAATAACATCCTGCAGTATCAATTCTTTTGCATTGTCAGGGATTGAGTAGGGAAACTTTTTTGCCTCGATGAGAATTTCGTTTTTAATTTACTAAACTTACTCAATGCATTGACAGCGGGTTTACCCTTTTATAGTAAGAAAACTGCATTCAACCATAATTTTTGTTTTTCATGTGAATAAATATGTACATTTACTTTTTGGTGATATGGTTAGTTCTTATCATCTTGGATGTTCATATTAAATATATAATAATATGTTCTGTTCTGTTTGCAGTTTGCAATTGCAGTGCTCAAGTTTGTGTACACTCAGCTTCCTGGCTACTTGTCCAAGGTGTGAATGGTTAATTTACCCACAACCAGCCCTGGGACAATAGACTGCCAAGCGTTTCCAGACAGGGGATTGATGGACTGTGGTGATAACCATCAATGAGAGTTATACAAATGTAAATAATTTTGCACACACTATGCAAATATTATTTATTATTACATAATGTTAATTACATATTTATCAGCAATTATGCTACTACACCAATAGACATTATAAGGTATAAGTATATATTACTAGGCGAAGATGAGCTGAGGAAGACCATGGAGGTAACTAGAACATATACCTCCACGGTCACCAGCTGACTATTCAGGGTAATTTGGTTTGAATAGTCAAGGTGACGTTCTTCTCTCAATCTCAATCTTATTAACTTCGGTAAAACATACTAAAACGGTGAGATGTGCAAGATAAAGTATCCTATGATGGGCCATCCTATATATTTGAAAACAGTGTAATAAACCGTACGCGTACGGACGTACGTGCACACGTGTGATCGAATCACTACCACGGTCGCACGCGTATTCAGTAGGTAATAAATTTGCAATTAACAAATTTACTTACCTTTTGTATAATTTTACGTCGCCCAGCTAAGAAACCTGACAGCCTAAACAAGCTCATGTTGGTATGAACTATAGTTACAAAGCCGGTACCAAATAAATCAGAGGTACATCGATCATATTCGATCACAACCACTCAGGCTCAATGTCGTCGTAAACGTACTGTTGAGCATGCGCAGATATCATCCTTTTACGGCACATTGGCTTGTAATAATATACGAACTAAACGTCGCAAACTCCTTAGGTCGTAAACTCGTAGACGATAGTGGTATTCACCGATTAGAAACTTTTCAGGGATCGATCCTACAGACAGAAAAAATAACCACACATTCGACAGCGTAAAGCTAATGATTTTTACACAATTTCATCATCAAAACTTCCAGCCCACTGGTACCCAAGTTTTCTGAAGTATAATTAATCGTGCGTCTTAATGAAAGAAGGCGTTGGCAGGTAAAAAGTTACACTAAACAGAATAAAACAAAATACGAGGCATACGAGTCTATCGTTCAGATAAGTTGTAGCGATACTGAAGAACATACATGAAAACACCTTCAACAGGCCACTAGATTTGGGGCGGGTGGTCAGCATATATTTGTTCTGCTTGATACTATTAGTCATTTTTTTTATCGATTAGAATGGTTTCTTTGAGTTTCGGTTCTGTGATTGAACCTGTTGAACGCCATATTTCCCCCGTAAAAAACTAATTTTTCCTTAATTTCAGAACAATATTTCATATAGCATGGTTTCAATTTTCAAAAGTTGTCTTTGACATTTAATGAGCTTCAAGTTGGAAAGAGCAACCATGCGCTGGGGGCATGAAATATATAATACTCGTATATAACTTAAATACTCAAAAATCCATTCATCATGGCGTCCACTGAGTCGCCTAAGTAATCACGTTATTTGGAACAGTGAACGAAATGATAATAGAGAATGTAACACTTTGGGGAGCATCCATCAGCTGTGTTGTGATTGTTGTACAGTCTTCCGAATACCGATGGAAACCCCAGTGGCAAACAAATACAAACTGTACCAAGCCACTGACAGAGAATCACATTCTTATTAAAATTCACTTTCAAACCTGATATGATAACATCAACTAATAGTGAGATCACATTCGACATTTTTTGATGAAAATATACTGATGACTTTCACAAATTATTACATTCAATAATTGTTTAATTCTCTTGGCAGTACGTAGCACCAACTTCACCTGTCCACATTTAGCTGTGTGATTTTACACAGATGCAGATTGTTTTCCCTGTCTTTGTATAAAAGTAATTATCCGCGAGATGATTGGCTCTGTGACATGTATTACCCTATAATAGCGGTCTGGTTAATGATTTAATCACTTGAGTCCAATAAGACCACATTCGACTTATAAAACATGTGTAAACACAGATTTAGTCCATTGGAAACATCACACATTTATTTGCCCATCATACAAAATATCATGTCATATACAAATTGTAAAAATATTTATAATAAATCATGTGGCATAAGTTGTATAGACTTGTGTGCCCGTGTACAGTTGAGGGTAGTGTAACAAACAGGAACAGCGAAAGACATATACACATCTAAACAGTATGGCTGAATCTATTTTTAGTATGTGGTAATATGTTTGTTGAAAGTCAACTTGAATTGAACCACATGTTTTATCAGGTGAAAACAATGATATAGAATTCAAGAAGTTGTCCTGAACTCATAGAATTCATTACTGTTATATGGGTTACACAGTGATTCATTTATTTGTATAATAAGATAATCCAAAGAGTATATAACAGAAACCGTTCACCTGAACCAAGACCAAAAAGTATGGGTAATCCCATGAGACTGGCAGTAAGGATTTTAGAAATCCACATGGTATGAATAGAACTACAATGCAGGATGGGTCCTGGTGGTTATTTGAAAACAGTAGACTGGCTATGTGGAGATTTTTTTAAAAATTGTGTATTTTTAATGTTTTAGCATGAACGTGAAACAGGGATTTTGCGAAAACGCTAAAAACAATGAAAATTCACTATTTTTCAGAAAACATAGAAGAAATTACGCCCAATTTCTAACAGCTAAAGTATTATAATATATATAGACCCATGTTTGTCATTACTTTTGTTTTTAAAGGTTTTCCATGGCAAATTTTATAACCAATTTATATTTTAATTTCTGTTGTGGGTGGAATTTCCCGGATGGCTCAACGAGAGCGTAAAGTACAATCTCATTGATTTATCATACTGTCAGCATTACCAGTAATCATATGCTCCGTTCTCTTGTCCTCCGTTGATGAATACTTTCACTTGTATTTAGCCATGGGATGAGTTGTTCCATGTAGGTTGGTCAACGTCAGCAAAGTCTAGACACAATAAATCAATGACGGTGCGCACCGGGCATCCACGTGATCATACGGAGTTGAGTTTGATTTGAAAACTCAGTCGTTTGTATGTTTGATAACTACGATATAAGGCGAAAAGATAACATATTCGGAAACATTTGCTTTCCGTATATATCATGGACTCAGTCACCTACAGCACGGTTACTAGTAACCGTGCCTACAGTTATAACAGGTGCGTCATTTTCTGATTCACTGTGACGAGTCAAATACCCTCCCCCGATCTGTACAACCCTGACGAGGAAAAAGAAAATTACTGAATCACCGATCACAACTGACATACAGTTTGCTTGGACGTTGTATTCTGTTTTCAGCCTTCGAAAAAAAATGAGCTAGTGATCAAAACAATGCTGAAATATATGACCAAGCACTGTCCCGTCCTAACAAGGAGGATTTGGAGGAAATGGTCGATGGAAATTTTGAGAAAAAAGTGCAGAGCGTTTAACAGAAATTATATACATGTACATTGTAAAACAGAGACACACATAAATAGAAGGAAACGATGCAAATTGGTACAGAAATATCATCCTTTGGGACGGTGTTTATATGATCTCTCCTCCCAGAGCTTCTAATGGTCAACCCCTAAACTTACTCAACATGTCACGACTGTCCAATGAATGCCGGTTGATATATTGTCAGTATTGTGTCGGAACACGTACTGTCTAGTAAGCCGGTGCTCACGTAACACGCGATTTCGGCGACTACTGTTGCTGAATCGTCCGTCTCAAGCTGTAGCCACTTTGTTCAGTAGAACATGAAATCCCCGGAAGGCGGATTTGAGCACGTACTCAGCGTAATGTGTGCCAAGCCAGTCTGTTTTTTGTTGAACGTACATTTTATAAATTGCGCCCGCTGTTCGCGAGAACGCAATTTTCATGTACACCCTAAACGTGTATTTTTTATTTTTATTTTACATATTTTATTTGTAGTATATTTTTTTAATTATTTACACATTACTAATTACTAACACATAAAAAAACATGAATAAAATTAACAAATAATAAATTCGAATACAATACAATAAAATGAGTACTAGTATATGAAAAATAAACATTTAAATGCATATTTAAAAACTCAATAAAGCCCAAACTTGCACTTCGATAGATAGAATATCATAATACGTATTGAGCAATCAATACTGTATACAGCATAATGATAACATAAATGATATTTCTAACATACAACAACATAATGTTCATTCCAACACTAGATAGTCGAAAAACTGCAGTGATGAGAACTTGATTTTATCCAGCCAGAAGGTGTAACTAGAATACAAAAATAAGGGACGATTCCTCATGGGCCAGCAAAAGTAACTAGCTCTTTCCCATTTCCACACGAGTAAAACAAATCACCCCTTCACTTTCAATTCAGCATTTCATAGTAGGAGCTGGTATATAGGTGAAATTGTGCAATATGAATGAGGGATAGTAACTTTCTAAATGCTTTTTGCTCAAAAAACTTCGAAAATAATAATGTTAATGAATGTCAACAACCAGTCGCTAAATTCCTATTTAGTTTCGTACTCAATATTCAACAGGGACTGTTTTTTTAATCAGATGCTCTCTAGAATAGAAACTGCATAAGATGCAAATCAATTACATTACATCAATAATCAGATCAAGTGTTAGTAATGAGGAAAAATACAAAAAAGAAAATTGAATCAAAGGTTTGTATCAAAAACAAATGTAAACAAAAATAGTGTTTCAAGTTAATCTAAAGTTTGACTGGGCTCAATTATACTTATAAAGAATTGTTTGACTTTAATTTGTCAATGCTGTACAAAAATATAATTATTTATATAGTTCTGTATTGTCTTTCAGACTTAGGTATATATTTTTCTTTCTTTTTTCAGAATCTGCACAGAGTTTGTTTTCTTCCCTACTCAGTAAGATAGCCCCTTCCCATTAGCTTATCTAATGCAACGAGGACAAAATGCTCTAGGGTTTCATCTTCGTCCTAACAACATGGGCAAGTACAGTCTTCAGAGAAGTGTTGTTTTTCCATTTTCCTTTTCTTTTCGTATGCTAAATCAAGCGTATATGATACACAGTTCGTTATATTGTTCTAATACTAATTTACTTATAAAAAATACCAATTATATTCTTTTACAATTAGAGCTGGGTCGAAGATTTTCATTGCGGGGATGACATATACTTGGGTTACCATTTATACACTATTATATTTTATTTTATTGAAAAATCAAAAAATAAACAAGAGATTGTATGCAAGTCTATGGATTACAATAAATGTATTCACATTGACGTTTGGTGTGATTACTCATATCATTTAATTTCTTTTATATCATACACCAAATTGGTATCCAATAAGGCCACTTCATTTGTATCTACAATTTTCGTTGTTTAATTGGGAATCTAAAGAAAAAATAGAGACGGAAGAAGAATTACTCGTAGGTCGTCAACAAACCAGTCTCGACGATGGGTTATTCATATTTTCTTCATACCATGCATCCATTGGAAAGTACGTTCTTTCAATACGCTTTTGTAATTTGGCTTATTTTTCAGAAATTTGCATTTTAAAAATTATAATACCGTAAAAAATTACTACAGGTTAAAGTGAGTCGGGTACTGGCAGGAGTCCAATACACTGGAGATTTAAGCACAGTCCATTTGTGAAGGAGCTGGTACTTTAATAAATAGGTGGATTATGAAATGTACACCAAACTGGCATGGCACATATCGCGGTGTTATTTTTTGTTAGGAACCAAAATGTTGAATTTTGCCGAATTTGTAATGAGGGCGCTTTTGTGATGCAAAATGTTAGTCGTTCTGTCTATGGAACTACGTTCTATGTTTGAACAGATTACGTCACTCGTTTATAACTCAAGTCATTTAGTTTACTCGTCAACATTTCAATGACAAGCCCCAAGGCCACGCGTCTCTTTGATAAATTAACAATCGATGTTTGACAATGAAAATGCATTTGCATGTTATAACTTGCGTAATTGATCGAGATCAAAGTCATGAAATTGCTCCTGTCGAATAACATCCAAAGCTTGATGTTATTTTCTAATCACCTAAATCTAAAACTTATTTTCTTGAATGATAATATCCTAAAAGCTTGGAGGTCGTCATGCAGCAAGTAAGTAATCATATGGGCTGCATCATCCACAGTACTGTCTCAATCTTTACTAAGACACGAAATCGTCTATGGATATGCTGGCGACACCATTATAGTTCTCCTAGAAAACTAATAAATCAGATATAATGCGCTAAATATCTGTCACGCTCTGAAAGTACAAGTGGTGGGTCATTGGATTATAATCCAGAAGATGAAAAAGTAAGGAATTCGTACGAAAAAAGCAAAGGGTGTCCAGTCAGGGATGAAGATAAAAAAACACTGAGTAGGATAAGAAGCGCCCATTGTGCAAAACGGTGCGCAGAAAGGATACTATGCTTTGCACGGAAAATACGGTAACACTTTATCATAAATAATGGTGCAACCCTAAGTGGTACACTATACCACTCGTCTGAGTGTTTCAGTGACCGGATCCACAGAAACTAAAGCTTTCACTCCCGGTGTTGTTACCCGGAATCACAGCCCGGGGTGCGCGATATGTTAATGAAGGTGACACAAACCATATACTTTAGAAAACAAGGTCTATGGACAAACATAACTCGTAAACCAAAAGAAAGCGACATGACAATAGAGTAGTTGACACTTTTAATTAAAACTGCGACGCCACTTCATGTAAATTTTGCCATGCACGTACATGTACACATCAAAACAAAATTCCGTTGGAAACCAAACAAGAAACAGTAAGCCACTCACTCTCGGCGGGCGGCCAATGACCGGGCTCAACTACTCCAGACAAGCCATGACAACACATTGTACTTAACAGGGGTAACCTTTTTAAGAACTATACACAGAGAGGTGTATTTCATATAAAAGAAGTCTGTAAGATGTACTCAAACCTTTCATGGCACGCCGCCAAAAAACAAATCACGAACTCGTATATTACAAGGGACACTTGTTTTTGCTGGGGTGCGTAGTCTAAAGTCGGAAAATAAGTGAAATAGTCCACATGAAAAGAGGCAGAAATAGAAAATACAAACACGCCTACATGAGCAAAAAATCTAGTAAAAAGAAATAAAAAGCCTACGTCAATTAAAACCTAGTATCTCAGGTCAACTAAAACAACCATCCTGAAAAGTGACCCGTACTTCATTCATAGAGTTCAAACAAGTTTTTAAAAAACTCCATGCAACTTTGAATAGTTAGTTTTGCAACAGCTAACAATAGCTACAGCGATCCAGTAAAATTGCGCAAATATTCCTTTTTCCTTCTCATTTTCGACCGTAAGTGTTAATGAATTTGACCTCCTCCCGAGAATGAATAGTACAAAAACAGGTCAGAGGTCACCAAACTACTCAAGGTCGATTGAGGTCGCATTTGGGAGTTTTGGGTGTAGAATTGGAATTATAACTAAACCATCTGCTGTATCATGCTATGCAATAAATACAGACGGTTGTGCTAAGCTAAGAGTGCAAAGTTCCACAAGAATGTAGTGTGTACAGTTCACACATACACAATGGCAAAACCTCTACGGGGTCAAGGCAGCGTCGGGCCATTTATGTGACGACATGTACCACATATTTAAGCGGTGGCGGCCATTAAAAAATCTATATACTAGTTATTGCAATTTGTAATAAAGATATATTGTGCTTTCGCGCGTCGTGCGTAGAATAACATTAATGTTGATGATGATGCTGGACACAAAGTACGGATGTCTCTTGAATATTAAAAGCTGTTAAAATGAAGTTTTATAATGTCGACTTTCAATGTCTGGCGTTGGCGACTCACTACGCATGCGTTCGTGTGATTACATTCCGGTGTGCTATAGTGTGTCAGTTGACGTGCCACACTCACACATGTCGCTTCAAATTGCAGCTCAGTAATTCCCAATCAAGGCATTCTAACGGCTTCCAAATCACCCAGCCGTCTCTCAGCTTTTGCTTCTACTCATCTCCAGCGGCACTGCGGGGCTTGGCAGCAATCGGTGCAGTTTGGACGCTGATATATCAACTGCAGGTAATGTCAGCATTAGTATATATATATATATATATGTTGATCGAACCGCTGCCTATTATGTATGGTGGGCCGGTCTGTCTGTTGGTCGTAAGTTTGCCTTGTTGTCGAGTCTTGACCCGATCGGCGGACGATCTCAGCAGATCTGTCAACAAAAACTTCACACCGCGGTGTTTATCCAATGCATCAACACCTTCTCGCAAAGTGAGAAAGGTGTGATCAGAGCATGGCAGTGATTTTATAGCTGTGGTGTTCGTTTTAAGAATGACGCGTGGCGGGTTTCACGTTGTGGCAAGTGGAAAGCAGGAAATCGACAGCAGACAGTCATTTGCATACAGACATGAAATCGACGAGACACACCAGACAAGCCGGGTTGTACGCACCTTCAATCCGAAAATAACGGCGTACCAACAAGAAAGACGCGCCGATTGTGAAATTAATATCGAATCTCAGATCGAATGGCCATAATTAACGCGCGTTATATCGATGTAGCGGAAGTGAACAATGGTCGTTAGTTTAAAAAAATGATCATTTTTTTTCTCAGAAATAGCAGCCCTCGAAACTGGCATGGGGAACAATGTAACTAAAATCCGATTTCCCATTAACTAATCGGCATCAGCGGAACAGTTATTAAAATAATTACCAAGGTCGAGAACGCAGCCATAATTTATTACTAGAGCGGTGTAAGTGTCAACTCGCATATAATTGTTTTTTTGTCTCAAAACTAATTAGATGTAATTGTAAAAAATATTTTTAATAACTTAAAAAAAAAAACAGTTCTCGGTTTTACAATAAGATAAAATCCCATGTATCTTAGTGTCAGCCATTGCTGGCATGCGTGGTTGCTATTAGCATTACGTCACAGATGGTATGATGAGATGACCCTAGATGCCCCCAACAATGCTGATGTATCAACCAATAAAAAGGACTTGCAAGTACCAATGTATTATAACAGTTGTGGAACGTGCCTTGGCATTTCTACCTATGTAACATGTTTATCATTTTTCAACAGTCATTTTAGGTAGTGTTATTTAGCCGATGGGATGGCTTTTATATTTGGAATGGCAAGAACATTTATTAAACAAATAAACCTAGCTCAGACATATAGATTACGGTTTACATTAGGTGTCTGGCTACAGGTAGCATTATACTGCTGTCACCCTGCTATTACCCAATCTGTTCAATTATTTCTATTCTGTGACACCTTTGATTTCTATGAGTGATTTCAAGACAGTTTTGTATGACACCATATTTTGCATATTTTCTAGAGTCATAGTTACAGTCTTTTATTGTTCCTTTTGACATTCACTCTCATTCAGGCATCATGTACATGTATATCATTTCCACTATACTGACCACACCCACAACTTTACTATTGTTACCAATGAACAATGCCATGCTTTGTTCCCTAATCAAAGCTTTTACAGTATTGCATTCACAGATTTTGTGTTGTTGAGTTTATTGTTTATTTGGCAATATGAGTTATTCCACCAGACAAAATTTAAACAGTCTTGTATTACATGACTAGTAGACTAGTATGTGTTTGCAGTTCAAGATGGCTGAACACTATTGATCTGTTTTTTTCAAACAAAATTTAAAGAGGAAGTCAGAGATAATATATTAATGTAGTGGATATAGGTTAAGGTCGGGTCATGATCATGATCATTAACTACAAGGCATTACAGGCATTATATTCAAGAATATATTGCAAATCATAAAATGCTGTGAAGGCTTTGTTGTAGTTTCTTTTCTATGATGTGCAACTTGACTGAATCTAACAGTTAACATTTTCAGTGTTTTTTTTTAATGTCACAGCTGAATTGGATGTCAGTTGCTAAGAGATAAGAATCACGCACATTGGACAATGTCTGGTTTTTGAATGCGGGTCAGGTACAATGATGTAATCATTGTCGTTAGCAACCAGTACGGTTACGATTGAAATGTTGACAGCTATTCAATTCAAAAACTCACCTCAATGACCCTGTGTATTTTATCACAAACTACCTTTAGCATACATGGCACTTGACAGTTTATTGTTTACATAATCTTCATAATCATTTTTAATTTTTGTGCATGGATGTTTTGATTTATACTTAACTACTAATGCTACAAATTGAGTTGTCATTTTTGATAATGTTTATGATATCATTTAATAGCATTATGTCAACAATGATTCATTGAGAATAGGGACCTGAAACTAATAATGAGGAAGTGATCAGAATAGGTTTCAATTCTTGATGATAAATCCTACATATGTGTTTGCACAAGATTATAAGGATACAAGGTATTGACTTACATAACTGTTTAGAGAAATAAAGTTAAAAAAGGCCCATAATCAGTTTGCACACTGCACTGATCTGGCTGCACTCCAATATTGTTTGATTATTTTGAGACCATGCGCAGTTGTTAGGCTGATAATGAAATGTCACATGTTTAACACAGAATAATCTGTTACCTAATTGTTTGGAATCTGTTTTCCATCAATAATTTGAAAAAAAGAAAAAATTCTCCCTACACAGTTGATAGTTTGCTAAAAATAAATATTGATCCGTATTTTCAATATTATTTTAAATAGATTAATGTGGCTGTGTGGATCTCTGTATGTGTGCAACGTTAAGTATGAGACCTGCATATTTATCAAACGATGGCCATCATCATGAATATTTGTAGCTGTCAATTCAGTGGGTGCTTAAGCTTCTCTTAGTTCCTCTATTCATGGACAAGATACACGTAACTATTACGCAGTGTCTAGACAGTTCTTAATGTTATTACAGCATACACTTGATTGGTTCATTTGGGTTTGGTTCCATGCCCATCCCGTATTTTTGAATCGCTGAGCGTCTGTTGAATGACGAATTAATAGAACGGCACTTCCTGTAGCGCAATATATCGATTTTGTGTAAACTGAACTGAAAACTGCGATTTTTTTTTTCTTTTTCTTGAATCTTGTTTACAAATTCATATAAATCATTCACTTTTTTGTTTCAGAGTTCATTTCATGCCTAGATGTTATTTACACAGTTCAGTTTCTCTTTTGACCACGTGGCTAGAAAGTCTACAGACATGTCCTGTTCCTCTGTAATTTAAATATAGATCTTGATAAACATGATTGTTCTATTTTTAACCTGTGATTTTAAATTTTAACCAAATTTGAAATATAGCCAAGTGTTTCTGGTTGTATGACTATTATCGAATTTTGTGTCTGATACTGTGTTGTTACAAACAAATCGCCCCCTCAACTACCGGGCGGTAGACATTTGCCATGTAAACCTTTTCCAAGGTATAATATCATACATCTACTGAATGGTATGCTGAAAATGAAATGAAATAAAACAAAAACCTTCTGAATGAACATTTTTTCATTTTTTTTTTCTTAGTGAACAACTTAGATGATAATATGAATTGCAACTATAGATAGTCTGAACAAATTTTTTATAATTTTTTTCTCTCAATTACAATACCATGTCTAGGTTTTTCTTTTCAAAAAAAAAAACAGTAATGAAACTGGTAATTAACATAATGAGAAACATTACTTCCGTTCGTTCTTGAATCTCAGTGCAACCAACCACAGATGTAGATTCTTTTGGCGTGACTGGGCATTACTTCCATTTGCATGAGTCTGTCAATCATTAGAAGAGGGATAGCATGGACAAAAACAGTCTGTTGATTACATCAGTGCAGTTATTTCATTCTGGTGGTATGCAGACATGTTCAGAGGTAGGCTCAGTTAATAGCAGACAAGACTAGCTCTAACCAGATTCAATCAGAGACAGTGGCAAGGTATGTTGTATGTGGGCAGATTTAATCAACTTCTCTCAGGTACTTTTTGTGTGTGTGTGATGAATTTCAAATTTCTCCCAAAATCGATAATCACTGGCAAGATATTGTACCCAAGAAACACAGGTAGTTGCGACAGTCTAACAAACTACCAATAGCTGGAGATGTATCAGGGATAGTATGCACAAATGAGGGAAGATGAATTATGACACTGATAATCAATTGATGAATAACATCATAAAAATGATTGTTAGGTTTTTTGAAAGGTTGACTGTTGGATGAACTTTATAACAGTCAATATATATTTTGTAGTAATCAGTATTTTTTGCAATAATTTATCCATCCTGTCTTGAGTTCATTTGTTTCTCTCACCACATGTATTATGTAACAGTATCTGTATCAAATGTGAGATCACTATTTATGTTCACCCACACATCCATCATTTTTAAATATGTTGTTCATCAAATTTCAGAAAATGAAATCTCTAATATGTTTGTACTATACAATGCGTTTTATTATTAGTCTGCAGCTTGTACTGCAAAGACTAGTCGTATGAATTATTTCATCCATGTCAAATTCGTTTTTTGAATATTGTGGCTTTTTTTCAACACTTCCTAAGCAGTTTTCTGCAACAAGGAATAACGATAAGTTTCAGTATCTTAGTTTCAATCTTCATGTCTTCGTACAAAAAATAAATGGGATTAGCGGGAACCATATTCAGGTCATCTTAACCCCCAGGGTTGTCTGGCTAGTAATAATTTATAAATTTATATTCAAAACTACAAATAATGGTGTCTTCTTCAGAATTCGATCCACACTATGAACCATGTGTTGTCACAAGCTGCCAGACCAGTCTTTTCGTGTCCCAAGCTGTTAAAAAATAAAGCTAGTGTACACCCACACAGAAACTAAAACATGCTTTTAATCCGGCTTTCAAACATGGCTGCACTTATACGTAAGGGTGCATGCTGGTCAGGTAGCCTGTGTGTTTTAGTTTGACAGGTAGCAAGATAATCATCTTCAGAGAAAATAAATTATAAGTGTGACTTTTTACATACAAATGAGATCACATAACCAACATTGATACATTTTAAGTTATTTGGCTACAGTGTGTCATTGCAGGTTACTAACTGCATATTGTAATGGCAGTTCATGCATCCAAAGAAATGTGGTTTTAGTACAACTGCCCTGGTGAGTGATATACTGGCTGATTCATTGTATTCTAA